ACCTTGAGAAGTCTGATATTGAAATGAAATACTATCAGCTACTGTTACTGGTCAGATGCAGCAGCGAATCCACATCTAACAGCCTGGGCATATGCCAAGCCTCACGTAGGCAAAGGAGTTTCGATACCTGCAAGACCTCACGTAGGCTGAAAGCAGGTATCAGGAACAAAAGGATGCTGCCCACCTTGGGCTACTGGCTGGACTGCAGGCGCAGATTGGTTACTTTGTATCCCTTAAGCACTGTGATTGGGCGCTACAATGTATCCACTAAGACCCCCCACTCTTTTAACATGTAAAGTAGACTGAACTTTCTCTTTTGTGACATTTAACAATGTGTGTTCAATAAAAGAGCTTCCCTGAGCGCATGTTCGGGGCTGCTCATCCAAGACTGAACCGGCTTGGTCTCTTTCTTGATGCATTGGACTCAATGAGAAGCCCTCCTAATGCGGAGCAAAGCCGCAGTCAGCATCAAGACATAACAGTATTTTTAAAATGAATGTAAAAGTTATAAATTGGGTCTGGCTTTAGAGTCGAGCACATATTCATTGGTAATTTCTGTTCCTCACTTTTCATCTCTTGTATTGTGCAATATTTGAGGACTGTTGTCATGTCTCAGTCCTGTTGTTTGATTAATAGATGGAATTGCTAATACTGTGTTCCGAATAGAGAAGCATATTCTTAATTCTACAGAGTAATGGCAATTTCAATGTTGCACTTTTCTTCACCCCCCCCCCCCTTATAATTAGCAAAATGATTATTATTAACCTTGTTGCTTCTTAAAGTTCTCAAAGATTGACAGTTTAATTATTTCATATGTTTTGAAAAGCATTTATTTAGAGTTTGGGTACAGGTAAGGTCATTACTGGAATGTTGTCTCAGAATATTTTTTATTCTAATGTTCAGAACCAATTGGAAGTTATGTGAGAAATAGATAAATTTATTTATTCTCTATTCTTGGACATTCTCAAGTATTACATAAAATGATAGAAAGCTTGTAAACTAGATCATGGTGATATTGATTCTTTTGCTATTATTGCCATATATGTCTTGCAAACCTCAAACAATCACATGCGGAATCCAAGCCACTATCCCAATGGTTCATAAATATTTTCAAGCAGGTGACCTCATCATTGGTGGTATTACTTCATTCATCTTCATAAGTAAAGTTGTAGAACACTTTGAGGAGGTTCCCAAGAATTCTGCTGTTGGTGAACAATTGTAAGACATTATTATTATTGATAGTGGCTTGCACAGTCAATCAAATGTTCAGACTGGATTTGGCATTTTTGTATGCCTGTCAAGTCATTCCCAAGGACCTGAGATAGACAGATATTTGATGGTGTTGGAAGCATTGCTTCAAAATGCAAATAGTTATGAGTAAAGCTGCCTTTTTATAATTATTACTATTGTTATTTTCTTTGTATTGTTATAGCAATGTATATGAAATTCTTTTATACACTTATTCTATGTGTTATAGTTAATTCCAATGTTGCATGTATACATTTTAAAATTTAAATGAAGTAATACTTTTCAACCCACATATTTTCATTGTGCTTTTTAAAGGAAACCAATAGTGAGACTCTGTGTTCCTTAAAAAAATAGGGGTGGTGGTGGTTTCCAAAGTAATTATTTAGTCTTTCATGACTAAAAGATTTTATATATTTCTGTGGATTACACATTAGTTTCTCAAAGAAAGAAAAATTATAATTAACTATTGGAATAATACTGTTAAGTCAGAGATGCAGTGTATTTTACCCTAATAAATAAAACACCAATAAATAAATTTGCCTGTTTGATCATGCATTGAAGTTTTTTTGGAGTTGGGAGATGAGAAATATATGGCTCGGGATAATTTGATTAGTAAAAATCTAATTTGCTTTTGTAATGTTTTTAGAAATCCTGATTTCAACATTATATGAAGTTCTTACAGCTAAACTAATAATGGTAATATCATTTTGCTAAAATTGTTTTTAAGATAGAGAAACCTTTGGATTTTGCTTAAATTGGCTTTTGCATATTATGGGATTTTAAAGTGCTTATTAAATTACTTACTATAGATATAGTATAATGAGCTGCAATTATTTACTATAGATATAGTATAATGAGCTGCAACCTATTTTGTACCCGATAATATGTTGCTGCTAAAAGAATAATAATTTTTGTAGATTATGGAACAGGACTTGGATATTCTCCTAAGAAAAGGTAAAAGAAATCAAAGCCAAAATCAAAATTGTTTAACAAATACACTAATGAAAAGTCATCAATGATTCTATTGAAAATTAAATAGTAACTAATTAATCAGTTAACATTATTCTTATGGAATTCAATTTCACTGCCTCTTTTTGACACAATACTTTATTTGACACAGCATCTAATTGCCATTGCAGAGTTCTGATCAAGTTTTATCAGCATATTTTGAGCTTGATATTTGCCGTGAAGAAGATCAATGAAGACCTTCAGCTCTTACCTAACATCACCTTGGGCTTCAGAATATATGATAGTTATGGTGGAGAGTATTCATATCATGCCACAATGGAACTTTTTTCCAGTCAGAACCAATTAATTCCTAACTACAAATGTGGCATCCTGAACAAACTCATATCTGTTATTGGAACTCTTGATCCTGAATATTCTTTTACTATTGAAGACATTTTAGGCATTTACAAGGTTCCACAGGTATGATTCACTAATAGTAAGTTTTATATTGTTTTATATTTTCAGATGGATTGATTGCAAGACATTAAGATATATTTAATTTAGTATACATTTAACTAGAAAGTATATTTAAGAAAATGTATTCATCAAAGCAGAACGTAAAGTGAATTTAATTTCAGAATTTGATATGATAGGTCAATTTCAAAAATTAATAATTAATAATCATTAAACATTCCCTGTTGTGTAGGAGCATTGGATCTCCTCCCAAGGAATTTGCTAATATGATGAACACACAAAAAAAGATGTAAAGTTTCTGGACTGTGTTTATTTATGTTGTTAGTCTCAGATGCATTTAGATGTTCATGGAGTTACACGTAGTATTTCTTCTATGTTTCTCTCCAACTGCCAGTGTGAAAGACCATGAAATCCCCAAACTTTCACAGGGAACTCCTTTAACTAAAAATAAACTTCATCTGCCCATAATCACTGCTCTATCTTTCTTTCACTCTTTCCTTGATTGACATAGACTTGAACCTGGGTCTTTCCACTCCTCATCTACCCCTTATTCACTGTATTTTTTGCAGCAAGGCTCATAAAACAAGAAGCGGGATAGATAGCACCACCACCAGATGGATTCGCAACTGGCTGGCAAACCATACTCAATGAGTAGTCTTTAATGGGTCTAAGTCTACATGGAGGGAAGCAAGCAGTGGGGTGCCAAAGGTTCCATCTTAGGCCCAGTACTCTCCAATATCTTTAATGACTTTGATGAGGAAATAGAAGGGAAACTTACCAAATTTGCAGATGATACTAAACTAACACCCAAGAAGATAACCTCAAGATCCAGATGAACCTTGACAGACCAGAATCCCGGGCCGTATCTAACAACATGAAATTCAATAAAGAAAAAAGTAAAGTCCTACACTTAGGCAAGAAAAACCAAAAGTACACAAATAGATTGGGTGAAACCAGGCTCAATAGCGGTAACTGTGAGAGGGATCTTGGAGTCTTTGTGGACAACCACTAAAAAGATGTTGAGACTCTAGAAAAAGTACAGAGAAGAGCAACCAGGATGATTATTGGACTGGAGACTAAAACATATGAAGAATAATTCCAAGAACTGGGCATGGCTAGTCTAGTGAAGAGAAGGAGGAGGGGAGACATGATAGAAGTATTCCATGATAGCAATATTTGAGGGGCTGCCATAGAGAGGAAGGGGTGAAGCTATTTCTAAAGCACCTGTAGGCCAGACAAGGAACAATGGATGGAAACCAGGGTGGGATTCAAATTTTTTAACAACCAGTTCTATGGGCATGGCTTAGATGGTGGGCATGGCTTGGTGGTCATGTGACTGGGTGGACATGGCTTGGTGGTCATGTTATTGGCTGGGTGTGGCCAACTCAATATCACTCACATCAAGGCATGCATCTCCTCGCCTGGCCTCTCATAACTGTAGGGATGTTGCAACAGTTGTAAGTGTGAAAAATGGTCATAAGTCACTTTTTTCAGTGCCATTGTAACTTTGAATGGTCACTCTACACAAGCAAAGTACCAGCAAAGGAGGGGAGAAAAACTCCAGAGAAGTTTCAGATCTTCCTGTCCAATACAGGAAGTCTAGTCCTGCCAAGAATGTAATAAGGGTTAACAGAGAGGCAGTTTCTGTAAGCAACACCAGAATGTTTCCTTCCTACCTTCCTTACAGGATTAAGCCAGTAATTTCTTCTAACAACCAGTTTTCCAAACTGCTTAGAATGTTAACAACTGGTTCTAGTGAATAGGTGTGAACTGGTAGAATCCCACTCCTGATGGAAACTGAACAAGGAGAGATTTAGCCTGTCAGAAAGTAAGAACAATCAACCAATGCAATAGCTTGCTCTCGGAAGTTGTGGGAGCATCATCACTTGAAACTTTCAAGAAAAAAATGTTATATATATATATATATATGTGTGTGTGTGTGTGTGTGTGTGTGTGTGTGTGTGTGTGTGTGTTGGCAGCACAAGATGCTTACAATGTTCTATGCTTTTACAACTATATGAACCACGTTCAAGGACAAAATTATTTTTATTGTTGAAGAAGAAGTAACGTAGAAGTTCAATAGAAAGGGGATGGAGAAAACATTCAGTTGGACAGATGAAAGGGAACTCTACAATCATTTACTGCAAACCTACTCTCACAAATATTTCATACACATACATAATGTGAAACATATCCTGAAATATTTTAATTTGCAGAAGATGCTTATCAATTTTGTCAATCATTTTTTGTCTATTTTTATGTTCCTATAGTTCCTTTATGGTCCTCCTCCAAGTATAAATGGTAAAACTGATATCCCCATCTATTACCACATGGTTCCAGGTGAAGACTTAAATTTTAGGGGAATTCTGCATCTACTTGTCCATTTCAAGTGGACCTGGGTTGGGATTTTTGTGAAAGGAGAAATTGGAGCAAAATTTGAACAACTGATTTTTTCATGGTTTCCTCTCCATGGTATCTGCATTGCCTTCTTAGAACAAAAACTCGAGGCTATTTATATCAGTAATATGGATGATGGCCTGAAATGGTTTGTGGAGATATTTCATCATTTCATTAACAGCAAAGCTAATGTTATAATAATCAATGATAAATATGTTTTACATTTGAGGTGGCTGTTATATCTATCTGAAATGGAAATGGTTTCTATAAAGCCAAAAGGTACAGTATGGATTGTGGCTTCCCAAATCAGTATTGCATCATTCTTTTATCAGAAAAGCTGGGACATACAGGTTCTCCATGGCACACTGTCTTTGGCAGCTTATTCAAATGAAGTTGAAGGATTCCAACATTTTCTTCAGACAAGAAACCATTTCTCATTCTTTCCCCAAGATGGTTTCCTTAAAGATGTATGGGAACATGCATTTGGCTGTGAATTTCCAGACCCATCTGTAAATGTGGAAACTGAGGGCATCTGCACTGGGAGGGAGAAACTGGAGAGCCTTCCTGGAGCTTTTTTTGAAATGAGGATGACCAGTCCAAGTTATAGTATATATAATGCAGTGTATGCTGTGGCACATGCTTTACATGCCATACAAGAGGCTCGACAACCACATAGGGGAATGTTGAGTGGCAGAAAACCTAATCTTCAGGATATACAGCCATGGCAGGTAATTTTCTCAAGTGTTAAATAATAATTAGGGGATTGGAGGCTAAAACATACAATGAACGGTTGCAGGAACTGCGCTTGGCTGGTCTACTAAAGAGAAGGACCAGGGAAGACATGATACCAGTCTTCCAATATTTGAGGGGCTGCCACAGGGAGGAAGGGGTCAAGCTATTTTCTAAAGCACCTGTAGGCCAGACAAGGAATAATGGATGGAAACTGAAAAAGGAGAGATTTAACTGGAAATAAGGAGAAACTTTCTGACAGTGAGAACAATCAACCAATGGAACCGCTTGCCCTCGGAAGTTGTGGGAGCACCATCACTTGAGACTTTCAAGAAGAGATTGGACTGCCATTTGTCAGAAATGGTGTAGGATCTCCTGCTTGGGGGTGGGGTTTGGACTAGATGACCTATAAGGTCCCTTCCAACTCTGATTATCTGTTATCTGAGGGAAATGAGACATGCATTTTAAATTAGAAGTGCCATTGTTTTGTGAATAGAAAGGTCAGAATTTATCTTGTGTTCTTTCTTTAGTATTTTTTTTTACTTCTTGGAAAAGTTGCTAACCTCAGAGTAGTTTGCTCCTGCTTTAACTTCTTCTCTGAGTCCTTTCCTGAGCAATTTAATCCTTAGATTCCTATTCTTCAGGAACACCCTTAAATAGCTTCTGTCAAAAACAGCTAAGTTAGCTAAGAAAATCTTGACAGTAGATATGGAGAGACATTGACAGTCCCCTTGACATAGAGGAAGTCCTCTAATAAGATAATTTTTAACTTTATTTTTAAAATTTATTTATTTTGTCAAGCATGCATTTGATAATATATATAAGTATAAACATGATTATTAATAAATTAAATAGATACAAATAAAAGGGAATATTTAAGACAGGGATGATAGGCATGATGGTGTGCTTATGCATGCCCCTTATAGATCTCTTAGGAATGGTGTAAGGTTAACAGTAGAACAGGCTGAGCTTATAATGTTTGGGATTAGTGGAAGAAGCCACAGAGTCAAGTAGAGTATTCCAAGCATTGACAACTCTGTTGCTGAAGTCGTATTTCCTGCAATTGAGTTTTGTGCGGTTAACCCTGAGTTTGTATCTATTGTGTGCTCGTGTATTGTTCAGGTTGAAGCTGAAGTAGTCATTGACGTATAGGACATTGTAATTGATAATTTTATCTACTATGTTTAGATCAGACCGAAGGCGGCTTAGTCAGGGGTGGGATTCAATTTTTAATAACCAGTTCTGTAGGCGTGGCTTAGGTGGTAGGCATGGCTTGGTGGTCATGTGACTGGGTGGACGTGGCTTGGTGGTCATGTTATTGGCTGGGCATGGCCAACTCAATATCACTCACTTCGAGGCACGCATCTCCTCACCTGGCCTCTCATGACTGTGGGGATGCTGCAACAGTCGTAAATGTGAAAAATGGTCATAAGTCACTTTTTTCAGTGCCATTGTAACTTTGAATGGTCACTCCACATAAGCAAAGTACTAGCAAAGGAGGAAAAAAACTCCAGAGAAGTTTCAGAGACAGGAAGTCTAATCCTGCCAAGAATGTAATAAGGGTTAACAGAGAGGCAGTTTCTGTAAGCAACACCAGAATGTTTCCTTCCTGCCTTCCTTACAGGATTAAGCCAGTAATTTCTTCTAACAACCAGTTCTCCAAACTGCTTAGAATGTTAACAACCGGTTCTAGAGAATAGGTGCGAACTGTAGAATCCCACCCCTGGATGTAGTTCTAAGTTTTCTAAGCCTAACATTTCAAGTCTGGAGGCATAGGGTATTCTTTTGTAAGTATATGTAAGGAGTGGAGGTCTCTTCTCATGAAATATTTCTGGACTTTCTCAATTGTATTAATGTCTGATATACAGTGCAGATTCCAGACAGATTAGCTGTATTCAAGAATTGGTCTAGCAAATGTTTTGTACACTCTAATTAGTAGTAAAATATTACTGGAGAAAAGGTTTCACATGATTAGGTTAAGGACTCTTAAGACCTTTTTGGCAATATTGTTACAGTGGGCTGTAGTACTTAGATCATCAGAGATGAGAACTCCAACTTTCTTGACAGAGTGAGAGTCATCTACAAGGTCTTGTCATTCCATCTTGTATTTTATTTTCTGATACAAAACTTTCTTTTGATTTTTTCATAGAAACCAATTTCCCAGTTCTGCTCCTTCACCATCACTCACCTGAGAAACTTTATTCTAACATTTGATCTATTCCACTTCATTTCATTCCCATACTTTGGGTGCAAATAACACCCTGGTACCCTACCTTCCACCACTTACAGACACAATTACAATTCCAGTCATATGCTAATGGAAATCTACCACTCTGTGCAAAAATTACCCTTATAGGTCCTAGTTTGGAAGGTGACTGCTTTTCATCTAAGTGACCAGCATTAAGTTACCCTTCTAATTTTGAAATCAGGTTTGTGAGTAAAATGTCTTGCTGATAAACTTAAAAAAACTGATACTTAATGGATTACATCAATTTGTAGTTGGGACATTATCAGCACTAAAGAGCAAAAGGTGATCTGGAGTCCTAGTCTCCGCGATTCTATAAGCCATATCCATGTCCATCTTCTCATTCAAGTTGTATTGTGTTCATGCAATCTAGTTAGTATACTCTATTGGTAATAAATGCTTCAATGCCCTTGATGAGGCAGAAACCCCACATCAGATGCATGTGGGATGAATTGGTAACTTAAGTTGCAAATGTACTGGTTGACCTGGGAGAGGTCCTCAATGGGGATTGGATTCTAATGACCATCCTCTATGCATGGCACAAATATCTCCTTCCCAGCCCTGAGGCCAAAAAATTCTTATTCACCCATTGTCAAAAATCAGAAATCAATAACTACGAAAGGTTGCCTGGTTACTAATTATGTAATAATCCTAGGAGACCTTCTTCCTTTTCCTATTGTTCTAGTAAACACCTCACAATCTTGTTCCATTAAAACGCTTCATTCAAAAGACACATGCTGAGGAAACGTTTTCTGCCAAGCCAAGTGGACTCCCATCTAAATCAAATGATACCTCAGATCTCCTACAGTACTTTCAGTCTGCTCTGACATAAGCTGAATCTCCTGATGCATTCATGAAAAATTACAACATCCTTACACCAGCAAGTATCCCATAATAATAATGTACTTTGAGACAAGTATTCACAATCCCAAACGATGGTTTCACTAGATTAGAGGTGTTAACTTGTGTCGTCATGGCATCATCATGTGATATATCATTTTTTCCTCTTTGGGTGGGCTGTGAGTTGGACAGCCCTGCACTAGATGTCTGTTAATATCAAAAACATTTTTTTCTACCACTTACAAGTTTTAGGTATTTGCTGAACTGGATAGTATCAACAACTGCTTGCATGAAAGATAAGGAAAGTCATAAAAATACTTTCAAGTTGCCAGTTCTAAAGACTCAGCCTCATTCACAATTCTGGCATATCACAAAAATACTTGGTACTGTTTTTCTTTTAGGGTTGCTATATTTGTAAAAACTCAGTCAACCATTAGATAGCAGCAAAAAGCCTTTTCTGTGTCTCTCTATTGCCAACAAATGACTAGTTTCAGACATCCAGACATGGAACGCAGCAAGCTACAATTATAGCTGCAATAATTGTGTCTATTATATTATTTGTAGATCTATAATTTTGTATCAGAATCTTCCCTGATTTGCATGTCTCTAATAATAGCTGGGAAGAATATTTCTATTTAGTGCTGGCAAAATAATAGTACAATCTTTATCATCTTTATGTGATAAATAACACCTGCCTATCCAATTAAGTATACTTTTGAGAATTAAATTCTCCTAGATGTACTTTAGTAGGGTGGGATGTGGGTGCTAAATTTCTTTTATTACCAAATAGTTGTAAGCTATGGTAAAATATTTTTTTATCAATAATGCCATATAAGTAAATCTGGTGGACCACAAGAACATTGAACATTATCCCCTTCATTGTTTTGATCTGTCACATAATTCTTTATCTTAACCATGCTTTCTCTCTGACTTCTCTTTTTCACAAATATGTTCAATTGTTTCTATATTCAGCTTCACTTTTTTTTGAAAAGAATTGCATTTAACAACAGTGCTGGGGATGAAATTTCCTTTGACAAAAAAGGAGAACTGGTTACAGGACTGGATATTGAGAATTGGGTCACATTCCCCAACCAGTCCTTGCATCGAGTGAAAGTGGGGAAGGTGGATCCCTGGGCTGCTGAAGACCAAATGTTCACCGTTCATGAGGAAGCCATCAGCTGGCCTAGCAATTTCAACCAAGTAAGTTTTGAATGAAGGTGATTTTGTTTTGATGTCTGGATTAATACTTTCTTACCATTCATAATTAGAGCCAGCAACTTTGTTGCTAAATGATAAAATTACTGCCCTGACTTACACTAACAGTTCCATCTGTGAACATTAGCAAATCACCCATTGTCATTAAGGGGGACAATGAGACTTCATGCCAGTTTCCCTATTGACTTTGCCTATCAGAAGCCAGTTGTGAAATCACCAAGTGACCATGGGGACACTGCAATAGCCAGAGCTTTGAAGATCAATCATTCATATTTGTTCAGGTTCTTCGTAACTTTGAGCAGCCACTAAGAAAATAGTAAGGACTATTTTCCTTGTGTGCATTGACACCTCTATATCTTTTAACAGAGAAAGATAAAAGATTGATCCTTTCAGTTGATATGAATCTGCCTATAACTGAGAAGAATTAAAGTAGTATAAAAATTAGATTTATGAAAATCAGTAAACTTTAATAATCAGTAGATCTTGTGATGGATCAGATGTGTGTGTGTCAAGTGAAGGTTGTGTAATGGGTCTTGTGATGGGGAGGTCATGTCAGGTGTTGGTCACTGGGATGGGAAATGCTGTTTTTTGAGGGGTTGTATGGGTTGGTTGAGGTTCAGTGCCATCACTGGTTGGTTGTGTGATTGATTTGAATTATGAGGGGTTCATAGGCTGACTATAGGTCAATGTTTCTATTGATGGAATTGCTTATGGAGGACCAGACTTTGATGAATTCACACATGTATTGGTGGTAGCATGGACAAAGATTCTGGTCTTAGTCCAAGTGATGCTGTTGGTGTGGGTAGAGATTAAGGATTTCTGATCTTGGCATTTGACTTCCAGCTGATGTTCATGTATTCTGGTTTTTAAGACCATCACAAAACCTTCTCTTGACAAATCCATATCTGATCCCTAAGAAGATCTACTGGCCACAGAAAGCCTTTATAAGCAAAAAAAAAAAAAAACCATACACAGAGAAGCATCCTCTAAACTCTGCTGCGGATGTTACCTAGCATGGTAATAAAACATTGAAGCTCAGAGAGTGAACTCCACCCTCAACAAGAGGTTCTCCTGGGGGAAGTAGGAATTGGATGATCATTTAAAGGGCCATTACACCTGATGGATAAAGTCACTCAAATCTATTCTCAAATTGAATACAGGCATGGATCAGGATCATTAAAGATGTCCATGGAATGGACTCACCTGATTTTCTGGGAACAGATTTTCAGATTAACAGAATTGGAAGGGCCCTTGTAGGTCATCTAGTCCAACCCCCCACTGAAGCAGGATTCCATATGTATGCAGTTTCTATCCAGGCTTCTACTTCTCCCGCTTAGAGGTGGCGTAGAAAAATGGTTCCATTGGAACTCCTAAATATCCTGGATAAAACAGATTATGACTTGGATTTCAGGCTTGATGTAATGGAAACAGCATTGGTCAAGCTTGTGGATAATCTTTGATAAGAATGGAATAAGGATAGTGCATCCATACTTGTGTCAGTTGTCCAGGTAATGCACCCATTGAAAAATAGTACTCCAAAACAGATAGATTCCTCAAAGAACAATTTATTGAATAGGTCATTTTGGCACAACTGGTGAAAACCAACTCTGAAAGTTCCCATAGTTTTCACCCGATTGAAAAAAATGAAAGTTTTCCCCTTCTCCCAAGTCATCAATCACATTGTCCAGTTGAGGTGCTGGCCAGTTGTTTTGTTACTTCACTCCTCCTCTCCCAGACACCCGGAATGATCTTGGTTCCCACAGGAAAACTTTTTGTTTTTACTGCAAAGCCCCAATTAACTATATCCCCTCCCTGTCCTCTCTTTCTGCCTTATTGGCAATCTTGAAGCCACAAAGATGGCCTCAGTCCAGTCCATTTCAATGTTGACACCTTGCTCCCTTTGACCTCTCAATGGGTTTCTGTATAATGACTATGGTATCCTTTTGGGGCAACAGCAGGATTTGGCACTCAGTGGTGCAGTACTTCACTGATTTGACTTCTTTCTCCAAGGCCATTTATAGCCAATGTTAATATAAAGGAATGTCCAGTCTACAACTATTACTTTGCAAGGTGGCATAGAGCTAGGTATTCTCTCCAGTGCTTTAAAACATTTTCATAAACATCTGGCACCAAGGATGCAGATGATACTTAGCTTTACATCTCTATTGCTGGTGATATAATAATGTAATGGTTCACCTTTAGAGAGGCCTGGATACTGTAGGGGGTCTGGATATGGCTTCAGCTGAACTTTCATAAGATGAAGTAGCTGTGGATTGAAGAGACTTCAAGATCCTTTTGTTTATTCTCTTTAGTTATGGATGGTGTTGCACTTCCTTAAATTTACCTGGTGCACACACTTGATGTTCAAGGAGCAGGTGGCAATCTTGGTTAGTAGGACCTTTGTGCTACTTCATGTTGTACAACCCTTATGTCATTATATGGATTGTGAGGCCCTTTGCATATTCACTTATGCCCTGGTCATATCTCATTTGGATTACTGCATTGTACTCTATATAGTGGTATCCTTGAAGAGTACTTTGAATTTACGCTGGTATGAAATGCAATAATCCACACAGTTTTGGGGCACCTAGGGTGGTGCACATAATACCACTGTTGTGCAAGTTGAATTGGTTACCAGTTTACTTCTGGGTCCAATAAAAGATGCTATTACATTTAAAGCCTTATGTAGCATGGTTCCAGGATATCTGAAACTAACCCACCCCACTTATTCCACTAGAAGGAGGCTGCTGTGTATTCCATGTGCTAAGGAATTTTGATAGGTTTGGTGAAGAAGTGCTTTTTTCATTTAGAGCCATGGCAATGTGGAATGCTCTATTACCAAAGGTAGGAACTAATCTCATTTTGTTGGCCTTCTGGATGAATATCAGAACTTGGTTCTGCTGGTTGTCCTGGGGCTCCAAGAAGAGTGCTCACTGCTGGAGATGGTTAATGGGGGCAAAACAAACTTCTCTCCTGCCTTCCATTCCTTGGTTTTGGTGTCCTTATACGTTTTAAAATTTTAACTGATTTTATATTTGTCTTTTATTTAGCCACATAGTCACCTTATCAGTGAGATGGGTGGGACATAAATTAATAAATAAAGAAATATTAAACAATCATGATTTTTAAAATATTTTCTTCAAACACCAGAGTGAATACTAATATTTCCCTTCTTATTTTACTTATTGAGTAGACACTGCCTATTTCAGTGTGTACTGAGAGCTGCTCCCCTGGTAATTTCAAAAGAAAGCAGGAGGCGAAGCCGTTTTGCTGCTATGATTGTCATCCATGTCCCAAAGAGAAAATATCAAGCCAGAAAGGTAAGAGGCAACATGAACCAAATTGCATTACAGCTCTACAGAAAGCTGAGTTATATTATTTTGTTTGTTGAGAGACTATGCTGTCCTCAGAACTCGGGAGAACCGGTATTGATAATTTGGCATGGGTGGCCAAACATGTAGTGACTTCTGGCTGGCCACGCCCCTGAACTGGTTCCCGGTCGCAGCTTGCTCACTTGTCCTGCCCTACACTCACCCTGCCCAGTCACTCCTCAGTCCACGCTGGGTCCTCGTGGCTTAACCTGCTTTCCCACATGGTGCCTGGCCGTATGTCCCAATTGAGCAGCTCTGATCTTCCTGCTGAAAGGTAACCCTGCAAGTTGTGCTAGCCCTCCCCAGCATCCCCGGAGCTTGCTTTCCCTACCATCCCCTGAGCTTGCCAAGCCCCCCCCCCCCCCATTCCTGGGCTCGCTTGGCTCACTTCGTTGCTGGCGCGGCCTAGCTAGCATGTGTGTGTGCGCGAGTGTGTGTGTGTGTGTGAGAGAGAGCTGGAGTGTGGGGGCGCCACCCATTTCTTCCTTTTCCCCCACTCGCTGCTGACTGGAGATCGTCCCAGACCAGCCAGGTGTGTGTGTGCATGCACACGCGTGTGTGTGTTACAATGCTATCATGTTTCCCCCTAGTTCTTCTTCCCTCTGCTGGTAGATGCTTCTTTTCTTCTTTTGGAGAAAAAACATTACGGTTCCTTTCCCTACAAACTATGGAAATTGGATGGTTAAAAAAAAAAATCAGGATGATGGCTTTATCTTTGTGAGTGTGTTTGTATTTGTATGAAGGTGAAAGAAATCCCCCCCTCTCATTGCCACAGCTCCTTTCATTGCCTCAGGCTGTCCCTGATAAACAAGCTGGCTGGTTAGAGCGTTCCCTCCCCCTCTCTTCTAAACTATTCAGACTCTAAACTACTGGGCTGACATTGATGACATTTTTCTTTTGATGAGGCTATCTCTTCCATCTGCAATCACACTGCTGTCGGGCAAGGATTCCACTGAGCCCAACAGTTTCATTATTTATCATGTGTTAATATTTTACACTGTCCCTTCACTACATCTAGAGTGATTTTACTGCCTTTTTTTGCCCAGGGCTACCACATATTTTTCAGGTATTTATAACAATGTTTAGTCCAGAGCATAAATATGTGTGTGTTTATTTTGCACATCAGGTTGCATAAGTCCAGCTTAATATGCTATTTCTCATATGTGATATTTTGTATACATACAGAGAAAGAAGCACTCTTATGATCTTTGACTTAGGCTTGCTGTCAAACATCAGCCATAATAATTACTGTTTTGAACAATATTCAGGTTGTATTACATGAATGGTTATTTTAAATGTGGAATTATGAAATAAATTTGAGTAGAGATCCTGGGAAAGTGTCAGAATAACAGAATAACACTTAGAGGGACCTTGCGAGAACCCTATACGATTTCAGAGAAATGGCTCTCCAGTCATTTCTGAAAAACTTCCAGTGATTGAGCACCCAGAACTTCTGGAGACAAGCAGGTCCACTGGTTAATTGTTTTCACTGTCAGGAAGTTTCTCCTCAGTTTTAGGTTGCTTCTCTCTTTGTTCAGTTTACATCCATTGCTTCTTGTTTGTGTTCTGCTTCTTTGGAAAATATATTGCCCTCACTTCTTTGTTGCAGCCGTATAAAGCCCGTTGCCTATCACACTCTTGGGCAAAGCATGTGAGCCATTTCCTTCTTTCAGTGATCCATGAAAGTACATCTATAGTATGTAGATAATAAAGTCAAAAAAAGGTGAATAATATTTTTACAAAACTATAGATATGTTGAGGCTGGGTGTGATAAGGAATAGTTGGGAGGGGAGGGGCCAGCCGAGGCATCCCTTGATGTGAGTGACATTGAGTTGGCCATGCCCTCCCAATCACATGATCACTAAGCACACCCACCTAGTCACATGACCACCAAGCCACACCCACCAAATAAGCCATGCCCACAGAATCGGTACTAAATTTTTTTGAATCCAACCATTGCCTCAGAAGGAAGGATTCTTTTACCAGCTGAAAAGAAGACTTAAAGCAGGCTTGTCCAACCCGCGGCCCATGGGCCCCATGCGGCCCAGGTCGCCTCGTAATGCAGCCCAGTGCCCAACCCAACCATTGTGCCACAGCCAGCGAGAAGGAGGAGGAGAGGCAGGCGCGAGGCGGGGCGAGGCGAGCGCCAGGCCAAGCAGCAAGAGAAAAGGTGGGCGCCGTCAGAGCGCCACCTCCTGCTGTTACTGCCGCCGCTTCTGCCCCTGCCACCCCCTCTGCTTCTGCCCCTGCCGCCACCCCCTCCGCTTCTGCCCCCGCCGCCACCCCCTCCGCTTCTGCCCCCGCCGCCATCCCTGCCGCTTCTGCCCCCGCCGCCACCCCCGCTGCTTCTGCCCTGCCACTGCTGCTGCTTCTGCCCCCACCGCCGCTGCCCCCACCGCCGCTGCTTCTTCTCCCGCCGCCACCCCTGCCGCTTCTGCCCCCGCCGCCACCGCTTCTTCTCCCACCACCGCTGCTGCTTCTTCCCCCGCCGCCGCTGCCCCCATGGCGGGGGAAGAAGCAGCGGCGGTGGCAGGGGAAGAAGCGGCGGTGGCGGCGGGGGTGGTGGCGGGGGCAGAAACGGCAGCGGCAGAAGCAGCAGCGGTGGCGTTGGAAGAAGCGGCAGCGGTGGCGGGGAAGAAGCGGCAGCGGGGGTGGTGGCGGGGGCAGAAACGGCGGCGGCAGAAGCAGCAGCGGTGGCGGGGGAAGAAGCGGCGCGTCGGGGGCAGAAGCGGGGGCGGGGGCAGAAGCAGCAGCGGTGGCAGGGGCAGAAGCGGTGGCGGGGGCAGTGGGGGCAGAAGCAGCAGCAGTGGCGGGGCAGAAGCGGCGGGGGCAGCGGTGGCGGGGGCAGAAGCAGCAGCGGTGGCGGGGGCAGAAGCAGCAGCAGTGGCGGGGGCAGAAGCGGTGGCGGTGGCGGGGGCAGAAGCGGTGGCGGGGCAGCGGCGGTAGGGGCAGAAGCAGCAGCGGTGGTGGGGCAGAAGCAGCGGGGGCAGTGGCGGCAGGGGCAGAAGCAGCAGCGGTGGCAGGGGAAGAAGCGGCAGTGGGGGCAGAAGCAGCAGTTGCAGCAGGGGCAGAAGCAGTGGTGGCGGCGGGGGCAGAAGCCTTCCCCCGCCGCTGCTTCTGCCCCCCGCCGCTGCTGCTGCTTCTTCTGCTTTCCAGTCCTGCCTCATCCAGCCAGGCTATTTGCAGGAGGAGAGGTAGGCGTGAGGCAGGCGAGCTTTCTCCCCACCTCCCCCCCCCCGCAAAATTTGGCCGGAAAATAAACTGTGATAAAAAAAACTGTGATAAAAAAACCGTGATAAAAAATAAATAATTTTTAATAAATAATTAATAATAAATAATAAAAACATCTCACTAACTTTATTTCCAAATAAATTTAATATGTTAACTATGTTTTCTATGGTTTTTTGGGATGATCGGGTATCGTTACTGTTATTTTATTTTATGTGCGGCCCAAACCAAATTTTCATCTTCTAATGTGGCCCAGGGAAGGTGAAAGGTTGGACACCCCTGACTTAAAGCAAAGAGTTAAGCATTTAACTATGGCTCTTGTTTAACAAACAAACAAAAAGAAGCAAACAATTAACTGAATAATTAAAATAATATTGAAACTCCCAATTTCCCTTACATTGGGATTATTTTGTCATTTCTGTAACTCTGTATTATTTGTTCTCCCGTAAAATCTGTGCCATATAAATGCATTGAAGATATATGGAAAAGAGGCATATCCGTAGCTCTTTTCCTTGAATGTTACTTGCATTTATGGATATGAACACACATTTTATCCCACAGGAATGTACAAAATGAACAAAATTCAGTAAAAATGAAGTGATAGAAGCACATTCCTATTATGTTTATTTTTATTTATATTATTCACAATAATAATCAGTAAGCACTTAGACCATTTCACAAAGCTTTCCAGCCCTGTCTAAGCAGTTTACGGAGTCAGCCTATTGCTCCCAACAATCTGGATCCTCGTATTACCTACCTCAGAAGGATGGAAGGCTGAATCAATACCATTAAAAAGATATTGTAGCAGGTTGCTTCCAAAAAAAGAAAATATGCAATTGTACAACCATACAAATATATAGTTAATGTGTACAATAGATAAGAAGTATTAATAATATTAGAAATATTAACTAGAATCCTATGGAGATAATTGCCCTGTTAAAATCCAAATTTAAGGCTAGTAAGTTAGAAGGAGGGTGGAGCTGACGTCGCGACGGTACGGCTTGCAATCTTGGGGCTCTGAGATTGCAGCCGATATCTTCACCCCTGGTTGGTCCAAACAGACCTAAACCGTCCCGTAGAGATGGTGACAGTGAAAGGCACATCCTGTGGATCCCAGGGACGCTGCAAAATCCCTGGTTGATTCAGGAGAAGTCCCTTTTGCTGGCGGCGGAGAGGCAGCCCCAAAGTTCTGAAGTTGGGACAGTTCTGGAAAGGAAGAGATTGAAAGAGAAAGTGTGTCAGCTAGGTGAGATCTTTTTTTTTTTTACTAATATTTTGAGATTTGAAAGGACACTCTAAGAACAAGAAGAAATCTGTAAGATTCTTGACAAAATTGGATAAGTGGTGATTTTTAAAGAGGGATGTCAAAGTGAGGCTTGGCTTTTTATTCTTTTACTTTTTTTTACTGGACTTTTATTGCGACTTAGCAGTTGTTAACTGGACTGATTTTTCCTTTATATATATTCTTTTTTTTCTCTTCTCCTTTTTGATTTTTCAACTTTTTAGATTAGAGGCTCCCTTTAGTTATTTTTCTATATGTATGTATGGAAGTATGTATGTATGTATGTATGTACTCTCTTTTTCTTTTTTTTAACTTCTATTGCATTTTCCCTGGGAAAGGCGGGGGGGAGTGAGAACAAAGAAACTTTGTAACACTGCCAACTAGAGGCTTGAAAATATTTTATTTGAAGTTGAGAGAACTCTGAAAGACTCCTTTTCAAGGACATTGCAACTTGATAAGATAGAGGGAAGAGCATGGGTGAGTGTTATTACAGGTGTTCTTCTGGACTCCTATCAATAACTAAATACTTGAAGCTTGGCTTTGAAGCTTGTGGAGTTATAACAAGAGCCTTGGATAATTAAATAAAGTGCAGTGTATTTTTTTTTAATTTTCTTTTAGTTGTGCTACCCCCCCCTTACCAGTTCTATTTTAAACTTTTATTTTTGTAATATTTTTATGTTCCCTTTTATCTTAAAGGGAAAGCCTCAGAATTTTTCCTTTCTCTTTTTTTATTGTGACTTTTGCTTCTTCCATCCATGTTTTTGGTTTATTCTTATGGTTGGTTTTTTTTTATTATAACTGAGATTTTTCAATTGGATTAAGGTGTGAAGAACCTGAAGAAACTTTTCTTTTATTTCTTTTTCAGTCTCTTTATTTTTTTCTTATTATTATTGGGCCTTTTTCTTCTTCCTATTTTTATCCATTATTTTGGATTACAACCGACTATTTTCTAATTGGATTAACATTTAGAAGAACCTGAAGAATTTTTTCTTTTCTTTCTTTTCTTACTAATATTGGGCTTTTTACTTTTTACTATTTTTATCCTCCATTTTGGATTATAATTGACTACCTTATTAATTGGATTCAGATTTAAAAGAATTTGAAGATTTTGAATTGTTGAAAATGAGTAGGAAACTCATACCTTCTGGTGCCTCAACCCCTACTTCCACCTCCCCATCATCTGGAGGACAACGTTTAATCCAAACAATGTTAAAGAAAGATAAAGAACAAGAAAAAGTGACTCTACAGATGATTATGCAAGGAATTCAAGATCTTAAGACAAAATCAGACACCATTGAAAAGAGAACAGAGAATATTGAACAAAGAATAGAGAACATTGAGCAAAGAACAGGGAAGACTGATGAAAAAATTAAAAATATTCAACAAATGATGGCGAAGTATGACGAGAGATTCCAAAAAATTGAAGAAGATAAAGGAAGAGAGGAGAAGATTGGAGACATTGACAGCAGACTAACAGTGGTTGAACAAGATAAAAGTGGGATGCTGAAATGGGAGATGGACAGGTCAGAATTCTATCTCAGATTTCAAAATATAGAGGAAGAAAAAGGACAAAACTTAGTTGCGATAATGATAGAAATTCTTGCTGAAGCCTTGGAAATAACAGAGGAAAAGATGATGGATGGATAGATGAGGTGTATCAAGTCTTTACAAGATATGCGATGAGAAACAACTTACCAAGAGAAGTTCACATCAGATTTACAAAAAAAGCCATTAAAACACAAATATTACAAGTGGCAAGAGAGAAGACGTTGAAATATAAAGGCAAGGAGATTGTGGTTTTAAAACAAATATCTAGAAGAGTGAGAGAGATGAGAAGAGAATATCGATTCCTGACTAAAATGTTATTGAAAAAGGAGGTGAACTATAGATGGCTGATTCCAGAAGGATTAATGTTCACATGGCAAGAACGGAGACATAGAATTGATTCAATTGAGAA